CTTAGTCACATTGCTATTGTCAGTCCAACTGATCAAATTTTATTTTTGAGTTTTATTCTGTCACATTTTCTTTGTAGAGAGTGAACAAACACTTCAGGTAGGTAGTAGGGGAGCTGCTTTTCCTAATTTATGGAGTAAAAGTTTTGGTTTGCTTGTTTTGCTTTGTTTTCCTACATAGAACTTTTTCCCCAGAAAACACCAGTTTTAAGGAGCAGCCATCTGCTGCTAAAGCAGAAAGGGTCATTACCAGAGCATGCAAATGAGAATACCCTGAAGGTGCTGTGAGAGTAAGAGAATTCAGATTGGTATAACAGAGACTCTGGTTGCACATACACAAACCAAAATGAGAGAAAGCAACAGTCCTCTTCTGCAAAGGTCTCAGTATAGGTTTTATGCTGTCCTCTAATACTCTTTAGAAACGGAATCCCTATATACCTGAACATAATGGGAGTTCAAAACATTTACTTTTGCAAGTTGGGTTTTTATTTTTCCCCTCTCTGTCACAAATGCATTCAATAAACGAAAGGGCACACTCACACTGCCAATTTTCACAGTTATGATTAAATCTTCACACAGCCTCCAGCACAGATTCAGGACGCATTTCCTAGGACATGAAGCAAACAATGTTTGCTCTAGTGCATTGCAAATATAAGTAGCTAATGCACAAAAGCATTGACTTTGAGTTTTGACTGAATTTTGACCTTTTTCTCCACAAACAAATATCCATAGCATAGTGCAGGAACTACCAGTAAGTACAGAGGTGCCTTTGATGAGACTTGTTATGCAGACGAAGTTTCTTAAGGGAAAAGTAAGATGTGAATAGGATTTCCTGACAGCCAGCATTTGAAAAGGTGATTGATTTTTATGAAAAAAAAAAAAAAAAGATTCTCTACTTTGTCATATGCTATTTCACCTATTTCATCAGCTTGAGAAAAGCTATTTGGCCAAACTCATATTTCTAATATAAATTCCAGCTACCATATTAGGAAAGATATTGGGTCATTGATTAATTGATTTTATATTCCTTAGACTGCTCTAAGGAAAAGGTTTTGGTTTGGAAGATATGTATTCTGATGCTGAAAGAAACAAAATGCATAAGTTCCAGTTTCTAACTGTCTGCTTCTTATTTTGGCATAAAATAATACTAAGAAAAAGACTATGCACTGGCCAAACCATGTGATTATCTTTCTTAAGCTGAAATAAGTTCCTTGTGTGAATTCCCATCTGCTAAAGCAAATGGTAAAAATCCTTTGATTAGAAGAGAGCCAAAATTCACTCCTGACCTTTTTAGATGATTATTTCTATAAATAGATTAAATGTGACCTTTTTCATGTTTTAATTGTCAGGATATTGAGACTACAGTTTTGGAATCTGCTCTGTGTCCGGATGCCTGGAAAAGTCTGAATCCTGCTAAAGCTTCACAGTCCCGAGCATGTAGATAGCAAAGGGCCAGGACTCAAGCCCCTGGGTTCAATTTGCGTAGCAGCTTCTCCCACACGCAGCTGCTCTGACACCAGCAGTAAGGGTTGCAAAACCTCACCCAAATGAGATTTCTGGATATTTTGTGGGAGTTAATTAATTCTATCCTCTGATTTCTTTCACTGTTTTCAGTTTTCAACAGTTACTATTTTGCACTTTTTGCTCCAAAAAATCTGTGTTCTGGAAATTCTGTTTATATTTGAAGTCTTTCAGAGAACAGCCAGAACTCTCGATGCTTACTTCTTCCATGCAACAACTGGGTACAATGACTGCACAGCAGTGCAGTCTGTTTCCAGGTTGAGGGTGTAATGGTGAAATATGCTTTGCTAGAAGATGTCCTCTCCCCAGAACCCCTGGTATTCATTCAGAATGTCAGAGAAATTCAAACTGCTTTCAAACCCACTTTACTCTCACTTACTGGACCAGCCTCCTCAGAACTTGTGCAGATAGTCTGTGAGCATGGTTTTGTTAAGGATATTTGAGAAGCAAACCCCTAGGAGAGACAGGGACATGCTTTTGGCCAGTTACTGAAGACTACTGAGTACTTTTTGAGGCATGCTTACACCAGGTACTGCAGATCCTCCATCTGGATACAAGGGAATTGTTACGTTACCTGGAGCAGTGCAACTCCATATAATTAGACTAGGTGGGGTCCCTGGAGACTCAGTTTACCCACAGTGATCTAATGAGGTTTAAATGGTGTGGCTGTACAGATTGCAGTTCTGGAACTAGTACAGTCAGCTCTGCAGGCATCTCTGTATTGACTGCACAGTGTTGATAGCCCCTTAATAGTTTCTTTTATTAAATATAAAAATAATTATAAACAGTAAAGGGATACTTTTATAAGTGAGAAATTCAACAGTGTCAAAAGTAGAGTCAGATGAGTCACTGAGTACTTGTACATATGTACATCACTCCCTGTGACCTGCTGCTCCTGCAGCATGGATGCTTGGGGCAGCCTATCACAAGTGTGTGCTTAACACTAAGAAACAGAGAAATCTGTAATGCAGATTGTTTTGATGCTTGTTGCAAGAGCTGCAAGGTAATAGCATAACACAAGAACTTTCCTTCTCATTTGTGCTCTCTAAACAGACTTTTCCTTGTCTCCATCCTTTGCAAGATACCACCTTACCTGAACTTAACATCACATCCTGTCAATTGAAAACTTACTGGTAAGACCAGCTGAACAGTTCACAAGTCAGAAAACTCTGTCAGCATCTTGGTCTAAAGATTTTTCAGTAACCCATTCTTGGGGGCAATTGCAAGCATACGACTGCCAGCAGAGATTTAACTGAGGTCCTAGCCACGTTAAAGGTTTCTGTCTCTTCTCTTCAGTAGGTTGTGAACTATCATCTCCTTCCGTCACATATACTCACCTGCATTTACATTTGGGTACAACACAGGCTAGTATACCAATGGAAGTCACTTCAAATTAAGACTCTCAGTCTTTTCTGGCTCTATAGTATAAGTTCCAATGTAAAATGTACAGAACACCCACGTAACCCATGGCTTTTAGATCTCAAAGTAAATGTTTTCACATAATCATGGATTGCATCCAAGCAAATGTCTGTAAGATGACATTTCTGGAAGCTTTTGCATCTTTACATTATATTTAGTTTACACAATATACTGTACAACTGGAAAAAATGGCCATATGAGCCAGACCAACATTTGACCTCTCATAGAGTGCCTTTGAGAACAGGCTATTTCTCTACCCTCCTCTATGCTAACACCTTTTACATCAGACAATTTCCAAATCAGGAATTTCTTTGAAGTTTCTGGTCTTTCTTCCATAGTTTACTTTTCAAAACATCACAAGGCCAGTGGAATTTTTGTATTCATGTGCTGGGGGCCCCCATGCAACTGAGCCTGGATCAGAGTTTCTCTCTTCTTTACATCCACCTTATTTCTCTCTCTCTGATGCAGTCCTGTTTCAGTCTGAGTCACTGGGAGACCCCAGAGTTTCTGTATGGAGCCGAAGCCTGGACATCCTGGCCCTCACGTCATGCAGCCTTTGTCCCTAAGGGACAGTCCACCGTGTTTCTCAACAGAGCTCACCACAGCCATCTTGCTGGAGCACCTTCAGTGTAAAGAGAAAGGGGCTGCTTGTCCCTCTGAAGGCCCCCAATTCTGCATGAAAGTGATCCAAAAATGTTTAGGGGAAGGGAACCAACACATTCTTGCTGGAAATGTATCAAAGGGCAAAATCCAGCACCTTATATCATCTGGCTTACTAATACTACATGCTGTTTCCAGGTCTTCTGTCAAAATAGGCGGTGAGCTGTTTTGTTTGTGGGAACTGCTATGAAGAGTGTATGACAGGAGAAAATAATTTCTTTTTGACTGCCTCTGTCTATCCTGTGGAGTTTGATCCAAAGCCCACTGCAGACATGGGCAGAGCTGCCAGAGGGACTTGAATGTTTTTGGATCATGTTCAGCATATTTACACATAAAAAAAAAAAAAAAATGTCACTAGTCTTATAGAAATCGCTACGATGCCATCCGGGAACACGGAGAGGGAATGTCTGTTTTCTGAGTATAAGTGAAGAGGTTTTGTTTGCTTGTTTGTTTTAGGATACTATGAAATCCAAAGATGCGGAAAAAGCCAGTTTTCTCTCTGCTCAGATATCTGAAAGCACAGCTTATCTTTGGTTTTGAGCTTTTATCTCTTGATTTTCATTTTTCCCCCTATATTTCTCAAATATATTGTTTTGCCAGTGTAATCAGAGAAACAGAGCAGAGATCTTTGTCATTTACAGCTTTTCTTTTTTTTTTCCCCCCACACACATTACTACCCAGCTTGCACAAAAAGACAAGATGTCTTTTTGAATGGCAACTATGATTTGTTTTGCTTGAAGGAAGAAAAACAAGTAGGAAAACATGAATGGGACAGCAAGTGGCAGATATGAGAATGCAAGTGACACAGAGTAAAAACAAAACACCTAATGCAACAAGTAAAGTTGTTAACTTTTTAAGAAATAAATTCATTATAGTACTACCCAGAATAAAATGGTGAGTACTGAATCCAGAATAAGGTCATCTTCACTTAGTTTCTCCATCAGATCTTCACATATCATCCCTTTGTTCATACCTGCAAAATGATACTTTTTGAAATGAACACTACCTTTGGGTATCAATCCTTGTTTTGTCCATACCTGTTCATTGCCAAACTCAGCTATGCTTCACAGGGTGGCTGTGAAAAATATCCCAAGAACCAAGGGATTTTGTCTACATCCCTACCTGGAACACACCAGCAGAGTTCCCAAACCCAGCTGATTCAGATGTGTAATTCTGATCACATGCTCCGATATTTATGTTTCAATTATGAACTTAGGACAGGAATGGCTTGCTGAAGATTTGTGCTTCGAACAGCAAAGAAGCATAGTCTGGATGCTAGATGCATCCAGGCCTAACCTGGTCTAATACTAGAGTGTGGATGTAGAAATCTGACCCACTTTTGTGGTTAAATAAATTTGTACTGATGGAGTAAACAGAACTAAAACACTCCCTTCTTTCTCCAGCAGGACAAACCATGTGAAGGGAACAATGGTGCTGCTTCTGTATGTGCTCCAGCTGCGCAGATAGAGAAGATCCAGGAGTGGCTGAGAGAACAAAGGTTTGTGTTGTGAGGTGGGCTCTCATGTGGGTTCTTTGATGTCCCACCAGAGCCAAGGTCAAGAATCAGCCTTGTCCTCAAGAACAGTATAAATACTTTTTTTTTTTTTTTTTTTTTCCTCTACCTAGACTCCTATTTTCACTATTTTCACAAAACATGTTTTTACTTTAATTTTTTAATCTGTGTGACTGCTGTTCCACAGTCAATTTTGGTTACAATTGAGCAAGATGATCAACAGCTAAGGGCAAGAGGGTGGCAGAGGCACACACACACATATGTACATACACAGAAAAGCTACATGTGGTATGATGTTGTAAGCCTCTTCATAAAGACTGACAAAAAAATGGCCTTTGCTGACGAAGACTAGAGATCTAGCATCTCACACAGCAAAAGGCTTACTCTAGCAAGGAAGCTAGAGTATAACAGTAATTATTCTCTGTTTCTTCACCAATTAATGCATAAATTAAAAATCTGTTTGAAAATTTTAAAAAGCAAATCTAGCAAGTCTTTCAAAAAGAACACCACAAAATATAGTGTTTGTGACACTAGTCTCAGTCAAGACAGAGCTTTTAATAAAATGAAGTATTTATAAACTGCCATATAAACTGATAAGTCTATATGATTTTATGCACCATAATTGCTCTTTGTGACATCCTAGGGAACACAGAAGGGAACATGAAGTTTCCCATCAAGATATTTGTCAGTGTAAGTGAACATTTAACGGAAAAATAAAATAGTTAATAACCTTTAAAACAAGTTTAAAAACTTGAAAGTAATGGGTGCGTTTAAAAACTTCAGGAGTGGGTTCTTTATGGGAACTCAGAATGAAAAAAATGTTTGGAGTAAAGTCAAAATGTTATGAGCAGTGCTCTGCAGTAATGACACATATCAGCAGTATTTGTAACCAGAAGAACAATGTGATAAATTTTAATCGCAAGGGACTGGGCTTTGTGGGAAGTGCCTAATACACAGACATCCTTTATAGGTTTCCAGTTATGACCTATGTCTAAAAGACATTTTAATGATAACTAAAGAAAGTAGATGGATTGTCTTCCCAGAGTGTTGAAGGTCCTGCTTGTTGTCATCCGCAGCTTCTATAAAGACCAGAGATTTTCAAAGGTACTCTTCTGTCCTGCTATCAGCACGCAATACCGCAAGGATGGGACTATCTAAGATAAAACATGCCAGAGACATGTACTCCTCAGGATTTCCTGTGGGAGTCTGACCGAAAGAAGGCAATATTAATAAATATAAATTCTGGAACATTATTATCACCAGAACCATGTCATGCAGTTTACCCTTGAATTCTTATAACCTCTCTAGTTTCTCAGGCAGTTCAAACATTTAACTGCAACTGGTAAGAGTGTTAGACCTCCCCACTGGGACAATTGTTTTCAATTACATTAAAGGCTCAAAGACTTTGATAGACATGCCAAAGCAAGGAGTTTAGCTTGCTGAATGTTTTAACTCTTTGAACTGATGTGGGATCTGGGAGTCCCCTTGCTCTTGGCCCTTAAAAATCCTTAAAAACTAGATGCAATCTAGAAGCAGATTACTGCCAGAAATATGTAATGGTCCTCCCTTTGAGGATGCTGTTGCCTTTTTTATTTTCACTTTCTTGGAAGTGGTGGTCAGAGGGAGCACAACGAACACATTGTTTTTCCTGAGCAGGACGAACTAGGCTGGAGAGAAAAGTCCCAGTCAACTACAAACTTAATCAAATATTTAAGGTGAATTCACCTATTTTTTTTAGCTCTTCAGAGCTGCCTTTAATTTCTGTGCTCCTCATTAGGGGTATTTCTTGGCAGAGAAATGAAAATGCCAGTGCTTGGCAGTTGAAATGCTGTTCCTAGAAGGACAAAGAAATGGGGAAAAAAATAATTAAAATAAAATAATAATAATTTAAAAATGCTGATCTTGCAGGATTCTTTGGCCAAAGCCTGTCATACCATACAATGTAGCATATAATATCATTCTGCCTGTGGGAACATATAGGATGCTGTCTCTTCAAGGTTTGTTTTTTCTGAAATTGCTCTAAGTACTTCACTTTACACAACCATTTGGGCACTGCTGCTGCTGCTGACTAACACTCAGGTCTGTCTAAATTGATGGTTGTGTTGGAAAGTCAAGTAAACACTTTGTTCCATACCAGTCCTTCCTTACAGTAATTTTTTATTAATGTATGGGCAGTGGCAGTATTGTGATCTTGCATGCTTTGGGGTAGTTGCCACTGGCTACAGCTATTCCCCTTCTTTTCCAATTCAGAACAAACAACAAATGGCAAATAACAAAAGTAGTTCGCATCAAGTCATGCTAACTCAGTGGAACAGTAGCTTCTAGACTGGAAATGGTTTAAAAGGCAGCTGTGAGTGGGTGGATCACACTTTAACATTGTATCTTAGCTTTGTTGAGAATATTTTTCTTCATCATTTCCTAGGAAAGAACTGATTAAATCTCTGCACAAGTACATTTGCAACAGACTTTGTCTTGCTCATTCCAAATGGAAAACTAGAGCCTGCATTTTGGGCAATGTGGTAGTTCTGTTGTTCAAATCAGAGCATGCTGTTCTTTTTGATGAAATGAGCAGCAGAAAGCAACAAAAAGCTTAGCTTTAAATTAATATAATATAAATAAATGCTTTCAGAAAGGAAACTTTCATGATTTTTGCTTTCACAAAGATCCTATGAACTCTATAAAACATAAACAATACCTCATAACGAAACACTGTTATTTCAAAGTTGACATCACATCTGACTCAAAGCGTGACTTTTTGATTGGGATTAAATTTAGTTTATTTGAAGGTTTTAGTATAACTCCTTAGTTATCTAGGACACAAGATAAACATAACTAACATAACATTTATCTTACAACTAAAATGCTGATAAGTATAATTTAGATAGTTAAGAAATATCTTTCTCTGTTTCTTAAATTCTTTGTACTATACATTTGAGAGCATTTTGTGTATAGAAAAATCTCTGTTATACATGTTAAGATGATCAGTTAACCCTTGTTGTTTATATGTTTTTGTTTTTTTTTTCTTGTTCATTTTGTACAGTGCAGAAAAGGGAAAAATGTAAAAAATAAAATCCACATACCTAACAATCAGCAAGCCAGGACCCATACAAGAGAAAATATATATTTTTTTTTTGCATTGACTAGGTTTCAGAATAATTTGAGAACGTTCAGCCCAAATGGTTGCAGAAGAATGCTAGAAATAACACCTGTCTTCAATTACCCTGATGGTTACAAACACACCAGTCTCCAAAACAGCAATCATTGGTCAGAGCTTAGTCCAAGCCATAACTCTGGCTATCTTATTAGTGTCTTGGTTAAAACCTGTATTTGGTTTGCATGGTAGAAGCATCATGTTGGGCAAAAATGAACTTTCAGAACCTACCAGTTAAGCAGATGAATGAAACTGCACAACAAGGAGCTTGAACTAACACCCCCAGGGTCAAGAATATATTTCTGGATTTGTTCAGTTTGCTTCTTAAACTGTGCTATAGAATCCTAGAACTGTAAAAAATATAAAAAATACTATCTGAAGTAATAGTATAACCCAGAAAATTTGTTGCTTGAATTGGGATTACATGATCACTGCACCCAAAAATGAATCACTTTAAGGCGTGCAGTGACTCAGTGGTAGAGATTTCCAAATTCTGTAACTACCTGTGTCTTCCCTTAAGAATCTGAGATTGGTTTTAATACTTGCACCACAGGAAAACTCACATCTCACCTCATTTAATTACTCAATTGTTATGTTCATAAAATGCAGGTATCTAATATATTTGTTATATTATTTGTTGCTGAATTACTATTAAAATTCTTGCAATATAGCAAGAATGGTATCAGAAGAGGTCAATAATTTAAACTAATATGTGAAATGTTCATTTCGCCATCCTTTAAGTAGGACAGGCTACAATACAATTATAACTTCTTAAACCCAGGGTTACTTCAAGCAATCATTCAAAAGGTTCCTCCAGGAAAGAGCCTAGCTGGACCTAAGTTTCCTAGTGAAGTCTCAGAAGGACAAAATATTTGTATACTGTCCAAGTATATTGTAATAACTATTTATTATTTTTTTCTACTTGTTAAATCTGAAACATAGAGAAACAAGGGCAAAAATTTGTAAACAAAAGAATAGCACATTGAGACTAAAAAACTGAATTCATGATAACCTCAAGCAGCTAAATCTGCAATTAAGTTACTCTGGTTTTGACAATGTCACTAGCCTGTTTGCAAATACTGGCTAGCTCAGTATCCAGCTCTCATGACTGTGGTTCAAAACAGTTGAGATTGACTAGGTTTTCTTTTTTTTTGTTCTTCTTCCTATGTACACTAAAGTACAAGGGAAACTATCTCAGACTTTCAGGACATTAAATAATTGCAAATGCAAATATGGCTGTCTATTTAGCAATCCATAGGCCTCTGCCCTCTTTGCTGTACATGCTAAAGTGCAGAGACAGACAAAGTGGGGTTAAATTATAGTGCTGGAGATGCAGCTGGGTCATGTAACACTAACAAGACCAGCTGATGGGCAAAAAGGAGAATTAGAAAAAGGAAAAGGTAATAGACAAAACTGGATTGAGTCCTGGCAGAACAAGTCTGTGGTTTTTTTTTTTGTTTTGTTTTGTTTTTTTTTTTTAAGGGGGTCCTTGTTTAGGACTTTTTAGGGACTTAGACTATACAGGGACTTTGAATATGTTTTTTCTAACTCATAGTGTTAGATTTTTTTTTTTTTTTATTGGTTTTAAATTACAAAATCTGTAAGGGCTACCATTGGGAAGGCTCATTGCAAAGTTAATATATAGGTGTGTAAGTATGAAGATAAACCTTTCTAAGTAGGATTTTCTGGGTCATAGGTGGATGTGATAGCAGGGCAGTCTGATGTAGAAAGGTTGTAGTAGTGTGGTACTGACGTGTACTTCACCAGAAATACAGTAGAGAAAGAAAATAGAAGATAACAAGGGAAGGTCTCCCGAGCTGTGCTTGGAGGTGGCTCTAGCTCTTGCTCTCTCTTCTGTGTTCTTCTTGTGCTACTGAGAATCTGGAAGGGATTTTTAACACTACTCAAGTGTTTGTGTTTTCTCTCAGGTGGGATTTGGAGCTCATAACAAGCATTATGCTGTCACAGCCATTTATTCTGGGCTGAGGGTTAATGAAAGTGCATTTTCTTACATGAACAGCAGGTTTCCCTTAACCTAATTCTTGGTTTCTGGATTTAACTTGAGTTGGTGGCTGGAGGGAACTAGACTTGCTGTCCACCTAGAGATGGTTCAGTGGTGGTTCTTGGCTAGACTATCCTTGCTCTAGAGTATCCTGCTAGTCTTTTGTTTTAAAGTAATGTGGTGCAGCTGTTGGTCCAGGTATGACTTATTTCAAAGACGGTACCAGAGTTTCCAGACCAAAAGATTTGCATGTGTTTCAGAATCCTTAAATAATAAAAATCCAGATGAGATGAAGCTTTTCTTCATCCCATCTCATCACAAAGAGACAGAGTATCCTCTCAATTTTTGCTGAGATTAATTTATTCTTTAGAGCAGGATTCATAATGCCTTATCTCCTAGAGTCTCTGACTGTGCTTGTACAGGTAGATTAAAAGTGCACAGCCCTATTGCCTGGCATTGTGGCCAACAGCATTCACTGAGAGAGCTGACCCCCTTACGCTCCAACCAGGGTAGCTGGGAGTTCTATCTGGCATGCTGGCTCCAAAGTAATCTCCAAGAAGAGAGGAAAGGGATAATTTAGCTGGGCCAGACCCCCAAATGGTCAGGAACAGCCCTAACAGCATCTTGTCTGACTAGACTTGCATGCAGGAGCAGCTGCTGGCACTGATTCACTAATACAGGTGTGGCTACATCAAGAAGGACACAGACTGCAGAGTCCTCCTGCACCTTGTCTGTACAGCTCGTGTACCAGCTCCTTACTGCAGCATAGATATATAACTCAGGGCACGCAAATTCAGTGTAAAAGTGACTTGCTGTAGTCTTTCCCTTGCAGCAGAAGCAGTATCTGCCACTACACTAACCTCTAATTCTGGGTTTCTGGATTCTGTCACGGGCATGGCTGTTGAGACAGAGGGGACTGAGACAGACCAAGTGTCCGCAGGCAGGGGCCTGCTTGTGGCATGCTAAAGTGAACAGTTACAGCTGACTAATGTCCAGGACCATGTGCCTTGGCTTATTACACAGTTTGTGAGAGGTGAGAGTAATGAGCGTGTGCTTTAAATCCATCTGGCGTTTATATCCAAATTTCCTCTTACTCTGATAACTCAGTATTTATTACAGTCCTAATAGACCTCCTGTTCTGTAGCTTCTTCCTGAAAGAAGACCATGAGACTACATAATAGTGCTGGCAGGGGGGATGTCATCCTCCTCTCCCTCTGTAACTCTTAGCCATTCTTCAGCTTGCTCTTTGGGACTGCATTTGCCATTTTCCCACAGGACAGCATTTAATTGCTCCTTGACTGACCTTCTGCCTTGTCCTAACAACTTTGCCCCTGAGGTCATTTCGTCAATTCATTATTCTTAGAGAAGGAGAAAAAAAAAAAACCCTCCTAATGTCTAAACTTCTCTTCCTATTATTTCGGAGTTGATTAAATGAGAAAGATTTAGTGTTATTAACCACCACCTTTTAAGTATCAGGTAGCAAAGCATTCCCTGAAAATAATGGCTTGAGACACCCCCCCCCCCCCTCACTATACCGAGAAACTCTAGCTTTTACACCCAGAAATAGATGCAATTTGATTTGTGATAGTGACTTAAATGTCATACTGCATTATCATCTTCCTCACCGCAGCATTTGCTTTAAAAGTGGTAGTAGAGACAATACAAATCTACACTTTCTGCAGGAAAATAACAGTGTTTTGTGAGACACAACATTCCTAAAGGTTCAAAAATCTGGTAGTCTATCATGCAGATTACTATTGTTTATAGCGCTGCTGAAATCAGGGGATCATGGTCTGTGCTCCAAGACTATTTATTAATAGCCATGAGGGAAAAAGAGGCATAGAAATCATTTAATCATTTCCATGAGTGCTTCTCCATAAGGCCACAAGGTCACCTACCTTTCCTTCTCATTCACTCCCCTCCTCTTCGCTGGCTTTGGGCTCAGGAGGGAGTTACACTGGCATGGTTTTGAAGAAGCCTATTAACCCTTCATAAGACACTTGTATAATAAGAATGTACTATAAAGTAAGACGAGAGCAAACCACCTGCAACATTAATGCATTTTATGTGCGATCTGTTTTGTCCGGCACTGGTGTTCATTTGTCTGGTCAAATGGCATCAACAATTTTTATTTTTATTTTTTTGAAGGAATTTTCTTTCTAACTTTTCTTACTAGTGCAGCATTTCTTTCACAAATGTATCACTCATTGGAAGTTTCAGAGCAATATTTGTAAAAGGTTTTCAAAATAATGAATTACTAAAATGAGCATTAAAAAGTAAATAAATCTAGAAACTATTCATCAGGATTACAAACAAGAAATGTATTTCCTCATTTTTTCCAGCTAATATGTGGAACACTTCACCCTGGCATAGATAAATCATGAATCAGCCAAGGGGTTAGTTAGGGCTTCCAGTTTCAGTAGGTCAGCTTACTGAAGTTGGTTTTCTGGAAGTAGGGATGCAGAGGTTATTATTATTATTATTTTAATTATAAGTGACTTTAGGGGTGAATATAGTAGTAGAAAAAAATATTTTTTTTCCTTGTATTCCAGTGAAAAAGAATCTGAAACTGCTCTTATGCAGTACTTTCTCTCTCTCTCTGCACCAAAAAGAGCATCCAGAAAAGGAGAAAGGAAGGAAGGTTTCTCTCAAGTGCAGGGCTACAATCCATAAGAAAAAAATTTCCTGTGCACACGTGAACAGGGTAAAGATTTACACTAAAACAAACAACAAAGTGGGGTCTTGTGTTGGATGTACTGACAAGGATGCAGGCACTGGCTTTAAAATGTTTCATCCCGAGTATCCAGTGTCTCCCAAAAGGACTTGCAGTAGGAGGAAGTGCGAGGTTAAGAATTCAGCAAGATTGGACAGATAGTCTAAAGGCTTGGGTAGACAGTCTGAAATTCATTATGAGAGCATATCCCAGGGGTCACCACAAACATCTTACAAACACTGATGAACTTTTTCTTCAGTACAGAGCTGCAGAAACGAATGTAGTGAGTCATGAGATGTTCCCCCCTCTGTGCTAGGAGGGAGAAAAGGGAGATAATTATTGGTATTCTCTGAAGTGGTTAGAAATGTAGGTTGCTTCTATTTTTATCTCCAAATTAGCAAATATGGTTTGACTTCCAAATGTTGTGATTGTTCCTTAAGTCACACTTCCTTTCAGTCAGCCCTAAGAATATCTCTTAAGCCGAATATCCAAAACTCCTTCAATTTCTACCCATTTCTTAGT